AATAGATACCTTCGTTTGAACGAAAATGGATCTTGCCAAAGAATAGGGATCGAAATTTAATTCAATTTTTTAAACCCAAATTTTTTGTCTTCACAAAAATAATTAGAAATAAATAAATGCCTTCGTTTGAACGAAAATGGAACTTGCCAAAGAATAGGAATCGAAATTTAATTCAATTTTTTAAACCCAAATTTTTTGTACTCGACAAGAAACAAAAATAATTAGAAATAAATATATATCTTCGTTTGAACGAAAATGGACTTGCCAAAGAATAGGAATCGAAATTTAATTCAATTTTTTAAACCCGAGTTTTTTGTCTTCGACAAGAAACAAAGAATAATTAGAAATGAATAATGCCTTTATTTGAACGAAAATGGATCTTGCCAAAGAATAGAATTGGAAATTTATACAATTTTTTAAAACCGAATTTTCGTCGAAAAAGAATAAAGCTTCGTTTGAGCGAATGGATCTTGCTAAATAATTGAATTGAAATTTAAGTGCGACAAGTATGCATGTCGATATTTAGCTTTTTGAAATATAAGTTTTATATTAGTCATCTGATCATGTATCTGATATATCTGTATTATTATTATTATTCCCGAAATCTATAGCTTAACCGGATCGGCGAAGAAATCATTCGGGCAAATTTTCACAGGTGTCCCAGGAATTATGATAATAGCTATAATATTTATTAATTAACTTTTTTAATATCCAGAAATTGGTTAAAAAATTGAATTGATATCCGGATAAATTCATTGGATATTCATTGAACATTCGAATATCTAGTAATTTGATATATTATAATTCACACGTTGATTTTATTCTTTTCTTTTTAGTTTAAATTAAAGACCGGATTGATGGAAAAGCATTTAGCAGATGCACTTTGCAAGTGCACCACCATAAAACTATGTATTCAGATAAGACTAGAATTTATAATCAATATTTTGTATATAAGTTTCAGAAAATCAAATTATAAGAATCATAAATCAGCACGAATAAGAAACTAATAATAGATTGTTTCAAATATTTCGATAATAAATAATAATGACTGAATCGACTTGAGTAAAAGATTGTTCATCAACCAAATCAGCACGGACGATAAACTAATAAACTAATAAGAAGTGCATACATTGCTTTCGAATATTAACAAATTATTTTAACTTTCAGGTTAAATTAATGTGACTTAATGAGAAATGACAGATAATTAATAATCTTACCGAGTAAGAATAACTTAAGGAGCAGCAAAAAAATTTTTGTCATATTTTAGACAATACTTCCAGCTAATTTAATATAAATATAAAGAAGTGACTTATTTTAAATACATCCACTATTATAATCATCGCCACTAAATCAATGAAATAAGAAATTAAATTAAAAGTGAATAAGCACTACACTCTACCCTCATTATAACGGACCCGATATAATTGATACCTTATTATAACGGAAAACAAATTATTATTATTATATTATATAACATTATAATGGATATTCATTTATTATTGATATAATGGACAAAATCTTTCAGCCCGAAGGGTCTGTTATAGAGAGGGTAGAGTGTATTTATTTTTCACAATGGCGGGAATAAGAGGTAAATTCCCAGTTATATGACAGTCCGAAGGGCCTCAAATAGCCGGAGATCTACCGGCTTATTTCCCGCAGTGTAAAATGAGGGTGTTATTCTTCATTTTTAATGTCATGGGCGGCGGAACATATAAATTGTAGTAGTGATTTCTTCTTTTGATTTACAATTTCACAATATCAATAACAAGATTAGTATGGCATGTTTTTAAAATACCATATAAGCTAGAAATAACGCTCATGTGCATTATTTTAAAAATAGAGTCCTTCAAAAACAACTTATATAGTCTCGAATTAGTGCTTATAGAACCTAATGTAGCACATAATTTACTGTTGCGATATACACTTTATAAGTGCACTTCAATGCACTTTCCCTATATTGATAAGTGCACATAATTTGTAGATTATTCTCCATAATGAATGTTTTATAAATGCATTTATTGAAGGTCGACTATATTGAATTTAGGAAATCTTCTCTTATTTCAAAATAACGCGTAGGTAGACGTTATTCGCTCTTATAAGGTAGATATTTTACATTCTCTTACCATATAGTTTGGCTATCCAAATCCTCCGTAATTTCTAAAATACTTATTTTAAAAATCATTCGTACGATCTACTGTAATAAAACCAGTAAATGCCGTAAAAATATTCAAATTTATGACATCACTGATCTTTTATACGTTTTTGAGGATCAGATTACTACCACAGCCATGAAAACTCATATTTTTAAGGTTAAAATAAATTGGTAATTCGAGATAAATTAAGAATATAAGTCGTACCTTATTTTTTACACGAAAAAAATGATTGGTAAAAATGTATAGAACACTCGTGATGGACGATAATTTATTAACTATACGAGATTTTTAGGGCTTAGACAATGATAAATTTTAATTGGTTTTTTTTTCGTACCGGTACGGTTTACTCGTATATTATTCCTTTTTTGGTACTTTTGTAAAAGTGCTACAAGCTTTTTATAAGTGGTAAATTCGAGTTTTTTTTTTAAAATGGCTCCCGTGAAGTTCTCGGTTAGAGATCTTTACGAATTAGGAAAAAAGTTCCTGGTGTTTTTATATCGATAAAAGTTTTAAAAATGAGTGATCTACATTGGGTGTGGAAATACCGAATAATATATTAGTAGTATTGTTAAAGAAATCAGAAATCATAGTTTCTTTTTTTGATTAGTAAATTTCACAAACCGCAATAAACGTAAAACTTGAGTACCTAACACGATCATCATAAATTAAGGTATTATTCATACAACGTATCGGTATTGGCCGATTTTTTGATATACTTTTCAAAACGATCTAATTCTGGTCAAATTTGCTGATCATTTGGCCCTTGGCTTATCAGTCTTAAACTGATAAACCAAGAGCCAAATGATCAGCAAATTTGACCAGAATTAGATCGTTTTGAAAAGTATATCAAAAAATCGGCCCATATGACCGATCTTTATTATCGTTTCTCAAAAATGGCCTAATTAATAAAGTCATAGTGGTTGAGCATTATCTCGATCACTAGTTGATCACATCGAGTGTGCTGCTTGAGAACACACTTAATATTAGTCTCGAGCCCGGTCCATTAGCTGTATCACACGTCTCTCCTTAAGGTAGAAGCTTCTGATTATCTGTCGAATTTAGTCAATCAAATAAATACAAGAAAATTTAGCATTGATGAGAATATATCATTTGTTATTGAAGAACTAACGAGTGTTTTTTCTTCTCAACATTCTATATTTACTATCAGATTTCGAGTTATCGCTTATCGGTCTGATTTTGGGGTTTCTTTCGTTGCAGCACTTATTTCCTGCACAGGATGCAAAATTCCTTGTTACAGGATGCGCAAGAAATTATAAGGCATTCTAGGAAGCTATCATATTTACTTTGTTAAGCTAAAGATGGAGTATTATGAAGACAGCATTAAATCACAAAAATTGATAAATAAATAAAGCATTAGAAATTGCTTATTGTAAATTTTAAATAGTTTGAATTGTCTTTGCATTTAATTTCAATAAAATTATAATATGCTTGATGTTACTTGTAATTAAGTAAAAATATTGGGTGCAATACTATTTAAAACTTAAATATTTATATATTTAAAAATCGATACAAGCAAAAAATCAGAAATCGATCTTGTAAATTTTTAATTTAACGGCTCAGTAATACATGTTTTTTGAGAATTGGGTCCGGTATCTAAAAGCCTGGAATTTGGTTTTTCTTGGCGTCTCTCATGCATCAAGAAAAAAAAAAAAAAACTTCAAATGTACAAGATATAAAAAAAAAGAATTCGTACGTACATACAGTACGTACTATCAGCTATCGAAATTTTCGTGCGTACGTCATACATATCAGATATTGCACCCCAACTTTCTGTGCCAGGTTATGCATGTTGCCGATCATCACACAGCAATTGTCTTATTCTAGCTATAGCGAA